TCTTCATTACTTAAAAAACAAACTCCACTCCTCCAATTTCCCCTCCAGATATAAGCATCCACTGAATCTACTTTTTTTCTGATCTGTTTATTCTGAACATTTCATATAAATGGAGTCATAAAATGTGTTCTTTTTGTAGCTCCTACTACTTAACATATTGTTTTTAAGATTCAGCAATGCTATCAGTATTTTATTTCTTCTTACTGCTTTAATTCATTCATCAGTCCTTGGTCATTTTGAGTAAATTTCTTTTTGGCTATATGAATAATATTATGCCAATAGCTTTATCAGTTTAAATTATCTATGAAACAGAAACACTAATTCTCATGAATTTTAATGTATGCAAAGAAGTGTTTGGCATAGAATAAATGTTCAAAAATAGTGTACCAGGGCTGGGGATTTAGCTCAGTGGCACAAGTGCCTACTTTGCAAGCTCACAGTATGAGTTCAATCCCTGGTACCAAAAACAAACAAAAAACAAAAAACCCCTACTTTCCACATTTTCTAGGTAAACTCAAGATTCTTGAATTAGCTATCTTCACTTAACTGTACTGTATCCTCAACCCAGCAATATATGATTGTGTTATCTCAGAAGATTCCCTTTACATTTCTTTCGGATTTTTCTTATTTTGTTAACAGAACTCAGAGGCTCCCTTTTCTCAATATATATGCTTTATCAATAAACGTTGAGTTATTACCATCTTGTCTTTTGGTTATGTTCCTACTTACACAAAGTTTCAAAGAACCACTTTACAACCTTCTTTTTCTTTCCACTCAGTGTCTCTATCTTACACTCCATCCGAACACTTTACCTCAAATTAACAGCACAAGGAAGTACTTTATTATCTGTTCACTCTTCCTTTCACCTAGTTTCCATGCTGTCAAGACTGGCATTACTGTCAACCTCTTTTTCCCTGATAAATGCTGAAACACCATGTTTATCTTGAAAATTATTTATACATTACAATGTGCTGTCCATTTTCATACCCATGTATTTATATGTCACTACGATTTTAAACACCTGCAAACCACGGTGGGGGATAGAGGCCTATAATCCCAATTACCAGGAATGTTGAAAGATCACAAGTTCAAGATCAGCCTAGCAATACTGTACAGTGAGACTTTACAAATAAAATGTTTAGGAGTGAATGTATAAATCTATGCTAATACTGTCATTAAAAAAACCAACTACTGTGATCTTGAAAAACAAATGTTGACTTTAAAGTTATTTTTAATAACATAATTTGATGTTTCTCTTTATTTTTTCATCTTTTTAAACACTATACAATTATTTATACTATTTAGGGTCTGCTATATGATAACCAATATCCCAGCTACTAATCTGGATTTTTAATTTTATGCACGAGAACTCCATAACTCCTTGAACTGTGTTAACTAAATCATTTCTGTTCTTTGTTCAACAAGTTGGAGTAAGAAACACTAATTAGATGTTACTCCTTTTCTACTACTAGACCATAATTACTTTCAACACAGCAATGCCAAACAATGTTGGTTCTTCCTGTTGGGTGGTTTCATTCCGTCCCTAATCTGCCAGGCGTAGGTCTGGAGTAATTTTTATGAAAATCGTGGAGGATATGGCAGAACATCAGTAACCAACAAATAGTGTGATTTTTCAGCAGGGAGTGGCCCGCGTGTAAGGGAAAAGTGAAGGTTAGCTTTGCTCTGGCTATGCTCGGAGCTGTCACAGCATGCAGTTTTTAGCATGTAAGCATCTCCAGAAATAAGAGAACAGAAACCTGTTTAACAGTAAAGTTTTTTTTTTTTTTTAAAGGGTACTTTGGTAGTAAATTCCTCCCCAATACATGAATAAGCTGCCTCTGGACACAAGTGTGCGAAAGGAGGCAGGACAGAGCAACACAAAGCTCAGATTGTCCCGGGTGGGAGACATCCCGGACTGGCGGAGCCAGGCGAGCGCGGAGCAAGGGCGCAGGAGCCGCAAGACAGCGCACGCCCAGTGCAACTCGCCCACGCGGGGCTTCCGCGGGGCAAGCGGGTGCCGGACCCCAGCGAGAAGGCTCAGACGGGTCGCGCCCCGCCCACCCCCGATGCTGGCAAGAAACAGAGCTGAGTAGGGAAGCAGGAAGGAGTTCTAAGAGGGACGCGGGTCCCAGAGCAACAAGTGCTGTGGTGGCTCCCCGAGAGGCTGCTGGACTGGAGCGGGAAAACAAGGCCCGACGCGGTGGCCTTCTAGTCTTTCCTCTCAGCCCCTAACCCCACCGCACTCACTCTGCCACACCACGCTCTTCAGCCCCCGCTCCGTCACCGACGGCGCCATCTTCCCAGATCTACAGGACAGCAGCCACCGCCTCCCACTCGCAACCTACTTTGGCCCGGAAAGTGGTACTTGGAGGCCCCGCCCCCTGCCGACCTCGCCCTCTGGTGACGTCACGTGCGTCACCGCGGGGATCACCGCCCACGCCTGGACGGAGGCTGCGCAGTGCAGGCGGAATATTAATGAGGATGAGGGCTACCCCTTGTAGGAGGGTACCGCAGCCGGAGTTTCGAAGTCCTTTTGCATCGGAAAGCGAAGATGGGCAACAGGTTGTGAACTGGCACAATTGGCGAAATTATGAATTGACACAAGAGAAAGCCAGGAGCCTTCGCTTTACAAAAGAATGCTTTGCGAAGGATCTATAATAGACTTCACTCTGTAGGTTCCTCAACCGTTAGATGGAAAATCTACCTTCCCACAAAAAATTTTACTCATTTTTCAAGAACACAATAATTACGTATAACTAGGACGTATCCTTTAGTATCCCTAGAATTGTGTGCTGAGCTTTTAGGAAACTCAGAAATGAGAGACACCTTTTTCCCAGAAGAATTCATAGTCCAATTAATAAAAAACAATTGCTGGCATGCTGTAGGTAGCCAAACATCGGTTTAAAAAGTGAATGCCTTGTGAATACAATATAAAATAGCCAGAAAGCTATCATTTAACGTGTGTGCAACAAACATAAAACAGGCTATCAATGCTTTAGATACAAAATTATTGTTGAAAGCTGATTAACAGAGGTGTTGCTTTGAGCTGAGACTTGATTGAAGCAACGATTTGGGGAGTTGAAAGTGTATCAATTATAAATTAGATCAGTTTAGTTGCTGACAGCCCTAAGAGATGATCATTGGGTACTTTGGCAAAAAGTAGACATTCCTAGAGGGGTTTGCAAAGAAGCAATAGTTTTAATTTCGAGTTGGACATACAGTGTAAATGGTTAGTAACCACTACTGCTAATAATATCTATACTTATTGAATGCTTATAATTTGCCATCACTATACAGGTTGGATTATCTCATTGTCCTCAAAGCAAATAGATTTAATGCAGCTACACTAATTGCCAAGGATGCACAGTTAGTGGCCCACACAGAAAGCAGTGGAGCAATTAATTTGTGTGATGACTTGCAATTTTTAGGAAAGAAAAGGAGACTGGAGAATAAAAACAATCATAAAATTGGAATGAATAGTTTTTTTTTTTTTTTTTTTTTTTTTTGCTTGAGGTTTATGTGGAAATAGAAGCTAGGGCCTTGTCTTTCCTTAAATGTACTTTAAATTATTTTCGCTTTTCAGTTTTGAATCATGTTAACTAAATTAGTTTTATCTTCGTGCAACATAGACTGTGTTGTCTTCTATAGAATATGGACCAAAGTAGTTCACCTTTAGACGCCTAAGCAGATAGTCCCTCTGGGACCAAAGATCCTAGCCTTCTATTTGGTCTTTGCCTGTTTTCTTTGGCTGTCCCAATTGGACATGATCACAACTCCATTTAGAGGGCACACCTTGCTAGCAACTGAGCTCAGCATGTAGTCTCACACAGGCCCCCATAACTCCCCATGATGCAAGCCAAGTTCTATATCATCAGGGAGGCCCTCAGTGGGCATGGACTTTTTCTGAACCCTCTGGATCTCACCAATCCTTCCTCATGACCTCAAGCCTATAGCTTCTTAGTGTCCCACCTTGAAACTGTGTTTCAAGGAATAGCTTAAGGAGGCAAATCCTTGACAGTTCCCAAACCTGGGGTAGGGATGCAGTTCAGTGTTTGAGCACTTGCTTAATATGTATAAGGCCCTGAGTTCAAAACCCAGCTTTGAAGGAAAAAAGTTCCCAAATGTGGCTACCTGCCAAAATCACTTGTTAAAAACATAGATTCCCAGGCCTGTTGAATTTGGTCTGCTGAGGAATCTACATGAAGAATCAGTACTTCCAAGCCAGGCGTGATGGCTCACGCCTGTAATCCCAGCACTCGGGAGGGAGGATTGTTGCCAGTTCGAGACCAGCCTGGGCTACAAAGTGAGCTTGAGGCCAGCCTGAACTGCATAGTAAGACCCGTTCCAAAAAAAAAGAAAAAAAAGAATCGGTACTTCCAAGTGATGCTGATACATCTAGCCCAACCAAACTCCTGTTCAGTCACCAGTGTTTAGGAATAAAAGAGAATGAAACACAGGCTTTCTCTGTGTGTGCTCTTGTGCACATCAATTGTACTTTTAGGGATCGTGTCTTTGGTTCATCTTCAAGTACAGATACTTCAGGGAAAATCTATCAGTGACACATTACCTTCTTTCTTGGAGAAGAGTATTTTAAATTATCTCAAAAAAGGAAAGAAAACATAAGTTTAGCCAACCTCCATGCCAATCTCCAATCTAACTCCATGCTGCAATTTCCAGTGGGCAGCATTTTATAGTTGTTCTTAACCAAAGATATTCCAGGTTTCAAAGCCATGCATTGGGTGGAGTAAACACCATAGGTCTGTGTGTGTGTGTGTGTGTGTGTGTTACAAAAGTCCTGCTCAAACTATTTTTAATTGGGTTAAAAAGAACATTAAAAGGAGAAACACTGGGGGCTGGGGATTTAGTTCAGTGGCATAAGTGCCTGCCTTGAAAGCAGGCAGTCAGGAGTTCGATCCCCGGTACTGATAAAAAGGAAAAAAGACCAAAAAAAAAAAAAAAAAAAGAACAACAAAAAAAGGACAAACACTTTTCTCAGTACAACAGATTTATGTTATATACCATTGCCTTTTCTCTCCAAAGATGAAAAAAGCGGTACAGTGTAAATGGGGATGTGTGAACACAACTGACAAGATCGAAGTCCCTCTCCTCTGTCACAGCTCAACTCTCACCTTTGGCTGTCCCTCCATCTGACATTTTTGCTCACCCAGAAAGCACAACTGCAACCCTTCTAGCAAAGCTTTTCCAGACACTCCCTTAGATGTCAAATCGTGTGTCACTTTGGCTCCCCAAACCCTGCAAGCAGCTCAGCTTCCCCCCTAACTTGCAACGAACAACCATTTGTTACCACAGGTTGCCCTGACAGCTGCTGCTGTCTGACCTAAGCTGAAGTCCTAGTAGAGGTGTGTCTCGGCTTTGCACTGCCCTCCTGAGATTGGCTTGACTTCTCTGGAAGTGCACACATCCAGGCTTGAAAGGCTAGTGGGCTGCACAGCAAGTGCTGATGTTAATGAAATACTCATGAAGTAGATGCATTGAAGACTAGTGTTTCTGGATGTGAAATCTTGGAATTTCTGCTAAGCAGAGTTATTCTGCTTCCAGGCTCTGCTTTCTTCCAGAGGATTTTCTGATTCATTTCTCTTGAGTCTTCTCTGCAGCCGAGCTTCAACTTCTTGGCAGGTGGTAACACACCTGATCTTGCCCTCAGGAGCGACAGTCAGTTAGTTGCTCTCCTCAAGGGCAAAGGAATCTTTGCTATCTTATAGGGATTTTTATATTCTAATAGATTTTTTTATATCTACTCACTGATAACTGAGACAAGTCTGCAAAAGAAATGGGAAGAAATTTTAAAACAAAGGCAAAAATTACTGTGGAATCACACAAAATCAATTACATTACTACTACTTACTTGATCAAGTCTGCTTTTATCTGGGACTTGCTGTATCATTATGCATTACTCTTCCCTCTGTAAATCACTGGAAAGACAGGGGAAGGAAAATAGAGCAAGATGAATTAAATATGCAAACATTTTCTTAACCTAAAAGCAGAGAAATGTCACTGAGATTTTATTAGTGTGTTGGTTTGAAATACAGTATTTTGCACAAGTAATAAGGAAACTGAAATAATCTGAACTGTGTAAAGGGAAACTGTTCAAACTGACCAGCAGTTTTCAACTAACCAGGGTGATCCTTCTCCTGCTTCATGAAATGAATCCTCCAAAGGAGCATCTGAACTCTGACTACTGACTCAGGACAGGAAACTTGCCTTTCCATCCACAGGGCAACTTGCTGTGTTCCTCATGGAGCTCCAACATTTCATTAATTCAGGAAGTTGTTTAGGGGAAACATAAAATTGTCTGCCAAGGAAATTTCAGAGAGAAAATTCCCTCAAAGTTCCCTGGGATATGCAGATAAGAAACAGACTGGATGTTGAAGGTGAAGGATGCCCCATGGAGTGAAATCAGACACAAACCCCTCCACTCATCACCTCAGATAGACTGATTTCCTCTTCTTTACAACCTATATCCAGTCTCCAGCTTTGAAGTAGCTTTTCTGAATTAGAGCTATGGTTTTCAAACTTCAGAGTGTATTTGTGTCACTTGGAGGACTTGTTAAAACAAAGGTGACCAGGCCCATCTCCAGAATTTCTGAGTCAGCAGTAAGTTTTTGGTGGAGTCCCAGAAATTGTATTTCTAAGTGGTTCCCAAATGATGCTGATGCTGTTAGCCCTAAGACCACACTTGAGAACTAATGAATTATAGTATTATGAAAGTTAGAACAGGAGCTGGGGATTTAGCTCAGTGACATAAGCACCTGCCTTGCAAGTGTGTGGTTGTGAGTTCGATCCCCGGTACTGGATAAAAAAGAAAAAGACAAAAAAAAAAAAAAAAAAAAAAAAAAAAAAAAGAAAGTTGGAGCTAAAATGTAAATACCTTTAATAGAAGTAGCATATTAAAAAGCAAATAAATGGTACATGATATGACTATGCAATGAAATTAAATTTATCCTCAATTAATAACTACCACTTACAATGAATTTACTACTTGTTATGGGCCTGTCATTGTGACCACTTAATCCTCATTACATTTTATGGAATGATTAGTATTCCAGTTTTCAGATGAGGAAACTTAGGCCTAGAATTGAGATAATTTAGCTAAGAGCAAATGATATCATCAGTATTTGAATTTAGATCTAATTTTTAGAAAGTTCATGCAGGTAGCAAGTCTAGGATAATGCAATGGTCAAGGAAGACCAAAAGCCTTAGGCTAGCAAGATTTCTAAGGCTCCCCTGAGCATACCTTTAAGTCCCATGTCAGCAGGGGTCCTGATTTGACTTGTGCTGTGTATTGGAAGGAGATGCTGAAATTGGTAACAACAATTTAGAACTTCCTCCTATATATAATGATTTCTGCAAGACTATAGAGGCCCTCAAGTGACCTGGAGTGCTTTGTTTTTGTGAATCTTGCAGGATTTCTTTAAAGTATCTCGTTGGACAGAGGCTGATTAAAGAAGGGAAGAGCGAGGATAAACTGCAACCCAAAAAAGACAGAACAGGGAAAATGGAGACCTGAGGCAGACTTCTCAAACATTTTGTACATCAGAATCACTCACAAACCTGATAGAAAGACACAGAAGCACTGTGGCAGGATATGGCCTGGGCCTCTGTATTCTTTAATTAATTTTCAGGAGGTTCTGACATACACTAACATTTGAGAAGCACTACCTAAGAAAGGCTTCACACAGCTGAACACATGCAAATTACTTAAGGATTTTGTAGGTAATGCTAGGGCCTGAGATTGCATCTTTTTAACAGGCTATCTGGTGATGCAGTTAAGTAGAAAGATCTGGAAACAATAGTTTTCCAGCTTGTTTTGTTTTATTTTTAATTTATTTAAAGCATTGCTTAGGTTGGGGATTTAGCTCAGTGGCACAAGCACTTGCCTGGCAAGCACAAGGTGATGAGTTGGATCCCCAGTACCAAAACAAAACAAAACAAAACAAAAGAAAGAAAGAAAGAAAAATATTGCAACTCTTCTAACAAAAAAAGAGAGATCAATAAATAATGTACTACCCCTCTTTTGCTGAAAGCTCCCAAAGACATTTCTCCCCTTTCGCTCTACCTCTAGTGAAGACCTATTTAAAACAACCATAAACTGACTTCCGGAAGAACATGGCAGACAGATAGCAGCAGCTACCGAAGCTCTCTGAGAGACCCAGCTTAGAATCCAGGAATGGTGCGGAGTGAGGAATCCTAAGCGAGAATAGATATACCCTGCTGACCCAAGAACGAACTGGGCTGAGAGAATCCAACTGGGAATGCAATCCTGGTGCTATAACAGGAACAGATAACGCCTCAGCGTGGAAGCTGGAGCCTGCGCCATTGGAAGACGCAATTTGGGTTTCCTGCCGCCACTGCTGTGTCTGAATCAGCTCGGCAGGGAGAGAGATGCGCGAAAGCTCTGAGAACAGGAATCGGTCAACGGAGTTGAGAGTGGGATGGGTGGGGAGCTGTGCATTGACCTGCAGTGAGTGAGGGAAACTGGGACTCTTCCACGGTCTAGGAGGCTCCAACAGAGGACATTCTGGGACTGGGCAGACTTGCCGGAACAGGGCGCTGTAGTGACCTCAGTCACATATCCCCCTCTCAAGTGGGATTGGTGAGCAGTGCCTAGCTTATGTGATGCTGCTGGCTGAGACCCAGTAGGCTAGCACAACCCAGGTCCCAGTGCCTGGAGGTGCACCCTAACAGTGAAGCCTTCGGTAGATTGACCTGGAGGGGCGGGCCCCACATAGACTGCCTGGTCCGTAACTCCCTGGTGTGCTGTGGTGGGGAGGAACACCTAGCCGGCACAATTCAAACAGACTGTGGCCAACAGGGAAGGAAGCTGGGCCTCCTATATACGCTTGTATTTAAGGAACAAAGAATATGGGAAGAGGGAGCAACAAGAAAGGCCCCTCGGCCCCCAATCCTGAGAAACAGGCAATAGCAGACACAGCACCAATAGAAATAAAGCGCTATCTCCAGAGCCTCCTAGACGAGTTCAGGAATGAAGTTATTAATGATCTGAAGCAAGACATAAGCAGAATAGTTAGAGAAATGCTAAGCACTACCCAAGAAAAAACAGATGGTGGAATGGGTGAACAGAAAAAAAGGGCAGAATTGTTTGATGGAGAAAATAGAGAAAACATAGAATATGTGAAGCAAGTTCAAAGAGATTACCAGGAAACTAAAAGCTCTATCGAAAACTGGCATAACAGCTTGAAAGAATCTAAAGATAGATTATCTGAACTGGAGGGCAGATTTGTAATATGGGAGCATGAAATGAAAAACTTCTTAAAAATAACAAAGAAACAAACAGCAATAATACAAAGACTAGAAGATGATAAGAGGATCTATAACTTAAGAATAAAGAACATAAAAGAAGAGGTAGGGAAACACTATTTTGCTTAAATGGTTATGTTTTGATCTGCGCTGTTTTGTTGTTATGCCCTCTTTTATCTCAATCTCCATTTTATTATTTACTTTTTAATTAAGGGAAAAATAAATAAAAAATAGCAGGATATATTATAGTACCCCACTTTGATTTTCTATTAACTTGATTTGAAGCCCTGTATTGCTTTCACCATCTTGTTTTGACTGATGTTCCTCTATTCTGTTTTGCCTGATAGTACCAGGTTTGAAAGTTTAGGCAACAGCTGTGAAGATAGTGATACTTCATACTTCATTATGATGCCTATTCTGGTTGACTATTATCTACTTTTGAAGACCTGTAATGTCTCCAATGTTTTGGTTCTGTTGGTTTCATTCTTTACTGTTTTGTTCAATTTTATTATAACTGATGATATAGGCAATTCTATTAGAGATAGCAGGAGACATTATGGTAACCATTGTTGATCACCTTGTATTATGTTTCTACATTATCTATTATGTCCACCCTTTTGATTCGACCGACTCTGTTCTGTTATGTCACATTTGGTTTTACTCTCTTCCAAAAAAGTAATAAGAAGTGTGGGAGTAATAAGACCCAAAAAGTGTAATAGTCATTGTACAAAAGAGAGGAAAAGAAAGTGCTCTAAATGGTATAAGTGCATGTATATTTAAGTATATAAGATAGACAATGATATTACTGAGTTTTGTTGGATCATTGAACAGAACTGTTTGCAGTCTCACTGTTTGAATGTCCACTTTATATGCTTTAATTTTGTAACTTGAACAAATATTTTTAAGATGACTATATATAATACATTAGTGATTTCCTACTGTTTATTTTTTTTCTGAAATTCTGTATAACTTGTACCTTTTGCTGCTTTTTTTTTCTTTTTCTCCTTAAATATAATTAAAAAAAAAAAGAAAAAAAAACCAGCCATAAACTGAACAAGGTGGTGCAAACATATAATCCAGGCTATTCAGGAGACTGAGGCAGGAGAATCACAAGTTCAAGGTTAACCTAGGTACCTTAGCAAGACCTCTCAAAATGGAAAAATAAAAGGGCTGAGGATTTATCTCAGTGGTAGAGTATCTCTGCGTTCAGTCTTAGTACTACAAGAGAAAACAAATGTAATACTAAAAATAGTTCCTAAGAACACATATATAAATCTATGTTCATTTCCCTGATGATCAGGGCTCAAAGTCACTAGAACTTTGGGAGATTTTTAACAATAGCTCATTTTTCTTTTGGTGGTGGTGGTACAGGGGTTCAACCACAAAGTCTTGAACATCTGAGTAAGCTGCAATCCCAGCTCCTAAAGCAATTTTTTATACAATTAGAAGTTTCCTCAGTTTGTTTTCACTATGCCACGTCTGTTTTCCTGTAGTCATAGGAAATAAAAACTCTTGAAACATGAATGGAGATTGCGCTTATTTTAGACCTGTAGGTGGGGGTTAGAGCAGGGATTGGAAAGTATGTGCCCTGCTGTGTTTAGAGAAGCAGTGGACTAGGAGAAGAAAGGAACCCAGGGGACAGACTGGGGATGGACCCCAGACCCAAGCCCTGTCACTGAAGAGTCACTGGGTGGGGAGCTGACCCCCACAGGAGGCTGGCAGTTGGGGTCTGCTGGCCGGAAGGCTTCAGCTCCACTAATGCCTTCTGAAATCAGCCTTGTCTGCCTAGGAGCAGGGGGAGTTCTGTAGTTTGGGGTTGATCATATTCTCTGGGGGGTTTGCTAAGGCTTTGAACCACACTGTTTCCTACAGTAGTGTGACAAGGATTCTTCATGAAGTGCTTATGCTACTTCCTGGTCATCTCCTTTGCCTGGCCCAAAAATCATCTCCATGGGAGCAACCAAGAGTCTAAGCAGGATCAGCCTAAGCAAAACTGAGCAGACACTGAGGGTTATTTTCATTCCCTTCGGCACCCCTCTTCCCCTTCTGGGTATATTCACCAGAAGTCAACATTGTTGCTCTTAGCAGACTAAGAGATTCTCTCTTGCACCTGACTACTAAAAGTATGGTCAGAGCAGTAGCCTCAGCATCACCAGCACTGCTTGGACCTTGCTAGAAATACTATCTCAAGCTTTGCCATACCTACCAAAGCAGAGTTTAGTTTTAACAAGGCATGACTGGTTCAAAGGAGCAAAATGTTTTAGAAGTCCCACTCCAGAATACTCAGCCTTGGCGGCCTTATAAAGTCACCTGAGAAGCTTTTAAAAATCCTGATACTTGGTGAGGCATGGTGACACATACCTGTAATCCTGGCATTCTGGCAAGCTGAGGCAAGATGGTCACAAATTTGATTCTAGCCTGGAAAATTTAGTGAGACTCTGTCTCAAAAGTTAAAAGGGTCTGGAAATGTAGATCAGTGGTGGAGAGACTTGGGTCTCAGTTCCCAGAACTGGATAAAAGAAAAATCCTGATGACTTTACCTTGGACCAGTTAATCAGATTTTCCAGGGACAGAATGCAGGCATTGGTTAATTTTAAGTTCTCCACTGTTGGAAACAACTTTCTGAAGTAGGAGGGATTAAGGAATGCCTCTTCTGAAAATATTTACATTTTTCTGTAAATTTAAATTCCATCTTCTGACGCCAAAAGACTAAAAAGATTTCAGAATCCCAAGGAATCCCTATCAGGCAGTGGAATCTGAGGGTGCCAGTAGGAAAGAGGAGAAAAATGTATGGGACAGGAATGCCCTTGTATCAAAAAGAGAAATCCTTTGCCTTTCTGACTAATTGCAGAATCAGTATTCAACCTGACTTTGTTAAGAAGCTCCAGAATTGAACAATGAAAATTCTTTACCACTTTAACCATGAAAAAATGACTTACCCACTCCAAGTGTACTTCCAGAACATGTTACTGTAATAAAAAAAATACAAGCACTGAAAATATACTTATTGATGTTTTAAAATGGTAAAGATATAACAGAAAATAAAAGGAAAGTGAAGCAAAGAATAAATAAGAACAAATTTGGGGGATAAGAGGAGATACCTATTAGTGCTGGGACCTTGAACTCTAGTCACTTCATTGTGCCTCAGTTTTATCTGTGAAGTGGTAAGTATGCCACCTCGTATGTATGTTTGTTATACGGCTTAAAAGGATTAATACGTGTAACACTCATAGGTTAGCACTGACACATAGCATTCAATCAATATTCACTATAATTGAATAGAGAATCCCTGTTCACCAACATTGAAACAAACAAAACACTTCTGGCAAAGTCATAGTTTTTACAGGGGAGACTAAGCAATTGTGTATTATAAATTCAAGCCTAGATACTTAATCCTGAAACAAAATAACTGCAAGCTTGAGATGTCACCCCCATCAAAGAGTATCAGAGTGCCAACCCACCAAGACTTCTAGTGACAAACAAGCTATCAGTGGAATGACTCTCTAAAGGTTGAATTGTGACCTTAAAGCACAAAGGAAAAATAAAAACAAAATAAAATATTTGCATTGTTCACTTAACTGTGTGATCACTGGCACTTAAACTCATTTGGTTATTTGTTAAATTTAAAACATGTTGGTCACATTTAGAAGCTAAATAAATGATAATCAGAGATAGAGTCACTTATCCGAGGAGATGGAACATGTTCAATTCACAATAATATGTTGTGGTAAAGGTAAGGATGCCATGAGGTTGTAAATGGAGGAGGAGAGGGCTAATTTAGCTTATGAGAAAAAGAGAAGGCTTCACAGATGAGGGGGGATTTGGGCAGGTGGAGTTTGCTTGGTAGAAGTGGGATAGAATGTCAGGCAGAGAAAAAGGTAATACATTTGCCCAGAAATATGATACAATGTGGTTTGTATGTATGGCTGGGGCAGGTGTGTGTGAATGGTTCCATGCCACGAGACCAGAGGAGGGGACTATTTTACTATCCAATGCTGTAGCCACTTGACACACAAAGATACTGAGCCCAATAAATGTGGCTAGTCTGAACTGAGATGTATTGCAAGTATAAAATGCATAATAAATTTCAAAGACTTAGTATAAAAAATGCAATGTATCTTAACTTGTAAACTGATTATTAGTGATAATATTTTTAAGTGTATTGGTTTAACTAAAATATATTACTAAGTTAATCTCACCTATTTCTTTTTACATTTTTAATTTGGCTGCTTGAAAATTTTAAATTTTCATACATAGCCCGTGTTAAATTTGTATTGGATGGTACAGGTGCAGATGCACAGATGGTAGAAGGTAAGACACCTTGAATACTATGATCAGAGGCCTGGATTTTATTCTGTGAAGCAATGGGAAACTTTTAAAGATATTGAAGTATAAAAGTAAAACAACTGGACCAGAGACTTCTGTAGTCCAAGCTACTCAGGAGGAGAAGGAAGAGGGAGGAGGCTCGCTTGAGCCCAGGAATTCAGAGCCAGTCTGGGTGACATTGTAAGATCCCGATTTTGAAAAAAGTTTCAAAACCCCAAACAAAAAGACAAGTTTGCAAAGAGAGATTTGGAAGCCTCTGTTCCAAGTTTCCTCATTTTTAAACTGAAGATAACAAAATCTTTTGAATCTACTTCTTGGGGTTACTTTGAACATTTAATGAGATATGGAATATGAAAACACCTGATAAATAGTGACATATTATGCAAATGTAATAAATTATTATTAATAGCTATAGGCTCCTCTTCCCAAGAGCTCATCCTCACCTTACGAGCATGCTCCTGTCTCTTCCCATAGGACTATGCTTTGAGTCAGCTTGTCTTGTAGACAAGATAATAAGACAACAAAGAATCAGAGCATGACATGCAAGGACAATGAAAATGTTCTTCTAGGAGGAGCTAGCCTTGTTCCATCATCAAAGCCAACTTGAACCTCTCATCCCCTGTATTTAGTTGGAAATTATGCATTCTGGCTATCAGTAAAAGTTTGTGAATCATTTGTTCTTCCTGTATTTGCTTACAAACTTCTAGGGCTCTGTCATCTCTTTCCTTTCTTTTTAGAAACAAATGAAAATTATTATTTATGTCCTGGGCAGTGTAGCAGAGGGTATTGGGATAGAACACAGAGTAAAATTGTAGTTTTCTACTAACTCTGAAGAGATGGCATTGCTGCCAGCCATGTTTTGTGATCACAGCTCTTCTGCCCATTCACATTTCCAAACCTAGTTTATGACTTATAAATTCAGTTTTTCTGACTCTCTAAATTTTCCTCATTCATAATTCCCAATCTGTGCAAATGAATCACAAGTCTCTTAACGTTCAGTTTTCCATGGTGTCTAGCATTATTTCTAAGACTATGTCAAAAGTCTGTCTCAAAATCTCCAATCATTTATGATTTGGTTTACCATTACATGGTAAATAGCAGCAAATATTTGGTCCTTTTCCCAAGGAGAAGAAAAGGAAAGGGAAGAGAAGAATACTTGCTAACTAAATAATAACAAAGCATCACATTTACAAAGAAATTTGGGGTGCCTGGCAACATATAGAAATTTCACACATAGTAAGTAAGTATGGCTTCCCTGAGTCTTAATTCACAGATCTGAGTTGAAGGTTAGTTTTAAGTAAAGGATCATAACTTGTTTTACCTGAATATATTTTTTTTGGACAGAAAGCAAGCTTCAGTCCTGTTTCAGCAACTGGTGAGACCATCACAGTATACACATCCCCACAGGGTATCTCAGTGACATCGCAGAAACTGAGACCAGCCCTTGGGGCACAGGTGAAGATGCCTTTGGAGCCATAGAGGTCAGTGCTGTAATTGGCAGAGCCTCTGGAGACTTGCCAGTGGATCCGGATGCCATTAGAGCCCAACCTATATAACTTCACCCCCAAAGGGCAGCAGGCACCTGGAGGACAAAGACAGAATCTCTTATTCCAGCATCTCACATCATGGCCTTGGTTATTACAGAGGGAAAAAAATACAAATAAGCTATTCTAATGGTATAACTAGTTACTGGTCAGAGTAGAGAAAGATTTGTGGGAAGTTCAAGTTTTTTCCATGCTGTGCCGAAGAATCAGAAATCCATGTGTGAGGGTGGTATGGGGTGGGGCTTTTTAATATAGAATGGTGATTCACAAATTTCCACACTTGGCAGAGCTCCTGTATTGTGTATGACTCAGACTATGAGTCAGATGCATGAGATCCTGTCAAGACCCCTCAGAATGCCACAGTTTCATTTAAATCTTAGTGGAGTTAAGTTTAAATATAATTTATTGAACTCAGCTGTAATTGGAAATAATTTTCCTCAGCTGAGCAGCCTGATGCCTTCGGAGCAGCCATTTCCATGACAGGCTGGTGGCCATGTTGCTTGCTCAATCCTTCACCCATGCTAGCTGATCAGGTACTTTTATGGGACCTCTTTCTAAGTACCTTGAGTAGGCATTATGTGTCAAGCATTAAGTGACAAGTGCAAGGCACCAAATGGTGAAGTTCTCATAACTAAAATACAGATGCTGTTGTATAACTTTTTAAAAAAAAATTGTTATTGACCTCAAAGTTTTCAAATTATTATTTGATATATTCTTTTAAAAATTTAGATGTCTAGATAAGCAGGGGTGGGTGCACACCTGTAATCCTGGTACTCAGGAGGCTGAGGCAGGAGGATCACCACACACACAAAAAAGCAATGGGCCATATTCCTAGAGCCTGATATCAAGGTGAGAGTTTAGGCAGCAAATTTAATGGAATGGGTCAAAAGAAAATATAAACCACCTTATATATGTGTGGCACATGACAAATGCTCTTACATTATAACTTATTTTAATTCCAAAATCAACTTTGAAAGATAGGCTAGAAAGCTATTATTATCTCTGTTTTTTCTTACCGAGGAGGAGACAGAATTGTGGAAAATAGGGCAGCACAGTTTATAAGAAGCCATTTCTAACTTAGACTCGCAGCTGAAAACTTTTTATCCTCTCCCCAGCATGACAAAATTATATTTCAGCCTTCCATCCCTTGCCCTGGGCAGAAATACAAACCATCACTGTACTCTTTCTCCTTAAACCTGACAAGCACTCTCAACAGTTTTTTTTTTTTTTTTTCAAAAAACTGGAAGCAGCCACTTTAATAGGTTAGAATCACCCAAGAGGGATATTATTTGCTAGCTCTGCACCTTTTTTACTTCCCCTTGTCATCTTCTAATGGTTTGATCTCTGAAAAGCAAGATACAACACCGTCAAAGACAGACACCTTTGTTTTCTCAGCCTGTTGAAATAAGAAACCATAGAAGGAGCTGGAAAGGCTTGGAAAAGAGAGAAATGGTGGCATAGTAATAATATTAGAAGAAAACAATGGAAACCAAATAGAATGGATGATCCAGTGTCTCTGAAAACCACTGGGCTGAGTGCTGCAGGTCTCTATGTTGCATAAAAATACACCATAGCAAATGCCTGAAACTTGTTACCAGGGAAGGTAATTTACCAACTACCAACAGGCAGAACCTACTTTCTGAAGGGTTCAGGTTCAAAGTCAGGTGGACATCGTAAACATTTTAGAAAACATACACTTACAATGCAAGCTGCATGGAGTGGCAGCATCTTGTTGAATGAGGAGAAGTTGTGCCTGGACTTCGAATAACTGAGTCATCTCTTGTACTCTAGTACTAGAGTTAAGAATGCACTTACTAGAGAAGTAAGTTTGGTAGGTGCAGTCTGAAGTCAACCCAGAGGCACTAATTGCTTTTAATGCCACCGTGTAGTTGATGCCACATGTGATACATCCCAGGAGACAGTGACTCTGATGGGTGTGACACTTAGACTGTCCAATGTGTGACTCCAGAACTGTCACATAGGTTTGCGCCACTGTATCAAAAGTCCAGCTCACATTGATTACCGACTGGGTGACCTGAGTTATTGTCAGACCGGCAGGACAGCATGGCACTTGAATGAGAAAAAAGAAAACGTGGAACTTTATTTCTACTGAAATTATCTGTGAAAAACAACCAAGAAGATATTTTGCCTGTATTTTATCCAATATTCTAAATTTCTCATATTGTCTATTGTTAATCAAAAATTGTCTTTGTTCATGACTCTTATTACATCAACTAAACAGTAAATATCTCACCAAGAACCAGAGTGCACTAACAGGTCGTGAAACTCCCTAATTTATTTTCTTTCAGAATAAGAAAGAAATCCTTTGTTGTACCCCAACTTGAACAATTCCAGTTGGTAAATTTTAAAGTAATGGTTGCATTAATCTCCTCTCTCAATAATATTTAATAGCATTCTCAATAAAATATATTTTGCTTTTGTGGAGAATTTCATCATATACTACTGCTATAAAAGCTTGATTTCTTTTTTTTTTTTAAATCGGTACCAGGGATCGAACTCAGGACCGCCTGCTTGCAAGGCAGGTGCTTATGCCGCTGAGCTAAAAAAAGCTTGATTTCTTAGCCCTCTAAGAACCACAGTCACCTCAATTTTCTAGGAATTCTTTTATAGGATGTAGGATATTTAGAACCTTTGTGTGTATTTAGCATCTTCTCTATTCTGCTGCTTTTTTTTTTTTTTTTTGGTGCTTTAATTTTTGCAACCCAAAATGTCATCTATTGTTATACATACAAGAAAATAATGTCCAAAGAAATAAAGTAATTTGCTAAATTTCATTTACACACAAGGCTCTAAAGCAGTGAGTTTTATTGGTGAATCTCTCACTACTCACCAAGCACTTCACTGAACAGTTTGCAGCATTAGTTACCTTAATACAAACACCCAGTGAGTACCTATCCTCTACTTATTGATTAAGTGCCTGAAAACTAGACAGCACTTTTTAGAGGAAGATATGAACAGGCTGAGTCAAAGAGATAATAAATCATCTCATTTGATTTACTTATTAGCTGTTTGGATAGATCGTATCATGGGAGAATATAAACTCTACCAAATGCTTTTGCAGAGTCCTCTGATGCCAGTGTAACACATAGAAGAGTCTTTTGGTGATCTTTTTACAGAACTTGTAAAATGTTGAAAGTTCTGTTTTCTAAGACCTGGGCTTTTTAGAAGACTCTCATGCTTACTGTATTTCTGATACACCTAGGTAGATTAAATAAAGCTTCTGTCTTAAAGTGATTCCTAAGGTCCCAGGGTAATCAGCGTTCAGGCTGGTGGTTGCTACATACCTGTCTCCAGGGGCACACTGTAGCTGGGCAGGCTCCGTCCGATCTCTGTTTCAGCCACAGCGGTGACAGAGAACACTGAGCCGCAGGGCAGGCCCCCCATCGTACAGGCCTCTCCCTTGCTGCTGCACCGATAGAGCCCCCTCTCCCCCTGGGCAGTCACTGTGTAGATGGCATCATCATTAGTGGCTTGCCAGCGCACATTAATTGTGGAGAATGCATCCATGGAAATATTTTTTATCTCAGGACTGCAAGGAGCTAAGAGATTTAAGTTATTACTTGAAACAGCTTGAGACAAAAAACTGTGATCTGTACCATTCAATGTAAAACTCATTTTCCCCCAAATAAGATCACCATAGTTTTTGACCGGCCCATGCTTGTGAGCCAAATTCATAGAGCCTCTGTGCAGAAAACTGTTGACACTGAAACAGGGTGTTAGATTTCTGCATTGTTGAACTATCTGGAAAATATTTAAGAGCATTTTTCACTCAAAGGAAAAACTAACTGAGGCAAACATTATTTGCACACTTTCATGGTGTGTACAGGCAAGTTCCTCAACGATAAAAAGAACCAAATGGCTCAGGCACTTGCTAACAAAACTTTCCCCTTCCCCATGGTCCTCTTTTTGGTTTTCTTTCATTCCATCTTTTTCTTCCACCTTGCCTTCTGCCTCTCCTCAGTATAACAGAGGCTCTGTTATATTGGTCCCCGCAGAGCAGTTAATGGAATTTAAACTTTTTCTAAGTCTTGTTGTAGGCTGGACCTGAAGCACATAGCAGGGTGGGGAGGAGGGGAATCATTCAGACACCAGTGCAAGAAAGCCTAGCTACACTATAGTACCTGTAGTGATAAAGCGGGAGGTGCATGACATGTTGCTGCTCTGGACTTCACTGAATGAATACACTGTGACATTGTACTTGGTGTCACACTCCAGAGCCGAGAGGGTGCAAGCAGGAGCGGTGTCATTGCACTCTACCACACTGTACCCAGCTATGGCCTTGGTTTCATAGAATTCGGCCCCACGGACAGGAGACCAGATGATCTCCACTCTGTCACTAGACACCAACACGGGGTTAATATCACTGGGACAACAGGGAGCTGAAAGCAGAGCAGAGAGAACCAAAGTCAGTATAAGAGCAATGCCATCAGAAGGGTTCATTGAGTCCTGACCTTCCCATGGCCAGAGCCTCTGCCACTGTCTTCTCAAACTACTGCAAGGAGCCTCTTCCAGCTCTGTTCCATTTCAAATGGGGTGTAATCCTCACTGCACAGGGGATAAGTCCTCACATGACATTCAAGCATGCAAGCTGTAATGTTCAGCTGTGCTTTTTCCACTCCTGCCAGGTCAGACTTCTCAATCCCCTACCTCACCTGTGCTCCTGCTTCTCTAGGCCTAGAAGACTCTACTAAGAGTCTTTCCCTTATTCTACCTGACACAGTCAAACTTAGTCCACTTTTTCAGATTCTATCAGTCTTTCCAGACACTAAATCAGATAAAGCAGAGGTACATTGGGGGATATAATTGTATTAGTAGATCATAGAATATCACTGATAAATGTCTAACTCAGTTTGGGATTTCTAAATGATATCCTGTTCCACCTACATTCCACCCATTCTTTAATGCTAGTTCAAGGCCACTCCCTCTGGAAGGTTCCCCTCTGTTCTTGAGATTTTATTGATAGTCTCTTACTCCAAATTCCAAAAGAACCAGTTATTTAGAGCCCAACCTGGTAAAATTCATTATAATCCAGCTAGTATCTTTATATAATTGTATTATTCTTCTTGTAAATTTTAAGGCATTATTCATTCTTCAAAACTCAAATATCTCTTACAAGCTGATCACACTATAATAAACACTGATAACAAAGAGATAAAGAAAACATAATCCCTGCTAATACAAGACTTAAACCCAGGAGATGGTGACAGTAATGGTAAAAGTCATGTTAAAATATTTGAATCTAGGCATGGTAGTGCACGCCTGTAATCTCGGCACTCAAGAGGTTGAGCCAGGACAATTACTGCAAGTTCAAGGCCAGCCCAGTCTGCACAGTAAGTTCAAGGCCATCCTGCCTAGTGAGACCCTGTCTCAAAAAGAATTTATTTTTGAATTCTGTTTTATCATTTACAAAGAACTTTTCACATTTATGTTATTTTTGTCCCTTTGGTAGTGGGGGATATTAAGCAGCAAGGAAGATACCATTTCCCCATTGTATGAATGAGTTAGTGGTCAAGTTAAGATTTCAACCCACATGTCCTAATTTAAAACTCTCAAATTATATTGCATCTTGGCCGCTGTGTCTGTCTCTCTAGTCACCGGTAACAAGTGAAGCCCTAAAACGAAGAGTTTGCATCCCCTTCAGAAGCTACCAGAGACCTGAACACTGAGTAGACATTTCTGAAAGGTTCAGTTTTTTAGAGCAGGGTGGAACAGCTGCATTCCTTTCTCTCTTTTCACTTTTTAACCTTATAGTCTTCTAAGCCCACATCCACAAAGCCAACTTTTCTTAGTCAAAGCACATGGGACAAAACATTCACTTTGTTTTCCTGGCCCTACAATGACTTCCAGGTGGTGAATCAGTACGTAAAATAAATGATCCACTTTCTGCTGCTGACTTTAGTGAACTAGAAACTACCTTTTCAAGCATCAGATGTGACTTACCTGTGGTATAATTGAATACATCACCCAAAGGACTTTGTCCTGCCTTGTTATAGGCAAAAACACTAATAAAATAAGTGAAACCACACTCAGATAAGAAATTGCACTGGGTGAGGGATGTATTGCAGTGTACTTCCAAGCCATCATCACTCTTTACAAAAGCCACATAGTAATCACCCAGATCAACATTTGACCAAGCCACAGACAGATGGCCAGGGGGATCTTCTTGGATTGTCACTCTTCCAGGTGCACAAGCAACTAGGAAATGATGAATAACAAGCAGCTGTAAGGCTATTGCAACAGATTTCTTTGCAATTATTCAAGATTTCAAGACAATCCAAATCAGCAACTCTGAGTTTTGTTATAGATTAAATTTGATGTACAACACTCAAAACTATGCACCAGAAAAATTAGAAAATTTTCTTTACAGAACCAAGTATGTGCTGTAGGGCCTAAGCACCATAACAAACTCCAGGGACCTAGCCACATTTTCTGATTGGAGCAATATTTAAAATGAGCCATCAGAGATTTTTAGTCATTTTAAGTTATGGAGATTTTCATTCTTAGAGTATTTGTTGAAACATTTGACCTCACTCAGAGATGCAGCCAATTTGAAGTGAGTGAAATAGAAAATACCCCAGAAGTTATGTTTTGGAGATAAAAATGTAGCTACTCATTGTGCTTTCTATTAACGTTTTGTTAAGCCTTCCAACAACTCCTTTCATCTCTGGAAGTGACGCAAGTGCTCTACGCCCAGCCTGCTCTATGCTTTTAAAAATTTAGTCATCTCTAATGGAAATCTTCCTAATATATTACATATTTCTGGGCCTCTGGAAACCACAGCACTTTCTAAAATAATTTTTCTATTAATAAATCAAAGTTATTCTCAAAGTAAAGACTGATTATATTATATACAACGAACTACAGTGTACCTCTTGGACAGATAAGTGCACAGGGCTAGTCAATAGGATTTAGCCCTGACTGCACGTTAGAATCAACTGGGGAGTTTTCACAAAATAGTCATATCCAGACTCTATTACCAGTAGTTTCAGCTCAACTGGTTTTAGGTGGCACCTGGTGTTGGTGTTATGGCTTGTGTCTAGATGTCCCTGCAAAACCTCATACAGTCATAGGTGGGGCTTTTTTAGAGGTGGTTGAATCTAAAGTATGTGATTGATTTAAGATTCAATGCTAGGATAAGGGTGCTAGGATTAAGGGTGGGTGATTACTAAATCAGTCCACTGACTGATTTAGCACCACCCTAATCCCTGTAGACATCCAGTATTAGCGACAGAAAAAGTTTGTCTTGTCTCTTGCTTGCTGTTGCCTTCTGCCCACCGTAAACTGTTTCCTTTCTGCCTATCTGCCCATCTGCCGCCCTACCTTGCCTTGGAGCCAGCTGGTTATGGACTGAAACCTCTACAAACTAAGAGCTAAATAAGCCTTTCTCATTTTAACTTTGGGTGTCGGGTATTTTGTCTCAGCATGAGAAAGGTAACTAAGATACCTAGGTATCAAGATTTAATAAAAGCTCTCCAGATCTTTTAAAAGTGCATCTAATAATTAAGAATACCAGGTGGTCCTCTTCTGTATTAAATAACTAATTCAAAACTGCTGTGCTTTTGAAAGTGTTTCTTATTTCTTCTTTGATGCTATCCTCATAACCAATGCATATGTGCCATTCACATTAAATTGTAGTTGTCAAAAGAGAAGCCAAATCACTACAATTTTTGTAACACGAAGAAATCATGGGTCTGGGGGGTTGACTTTGTTTTTGTTGCTGTTTGTTTCTGTCTATGGAATAGAGTACACAAGCTTAGTGATAACTCTTTCCTCCTTGCTCAGAAGCCTTTTAACTTAGAATGGTATAATTATGACTTTTGGATAAGTGAACATTATTACATTTTCTTTGGTTTAGAAGGTTAAAATCAGATAAATCTGAGCTTGAATCCATTTCTCATTGAAATGTCCTTGAAACCATTATTTAACCTCTGAGCTTTGATTTTCTTATCTGAAAAGGGACATAATAGAGACCACTTCATTAAGTTGTCATAGAATTGAAGAATATATATATTAATGTCTTAGACAAAGTAGGTCTTTATATAACACTAGTTTTAATTCCCAAAATACATAAACACTTTTAAATATAGGAATAAACTTCCACATATGTGTATCTTTATGTCTTTAAATAGGAAAATATCTGAATACATTTGGAACTAGAAGTATTCCATCTTTATTTTAAAAAATAGTTTCCACCAAGTCTTTGTCATAAAACATGAGGTCAAGAAGAGGAGGTTGTCTGTACTGCATAGTTAGAGCTATGTATGACTCCAATTGGATCTTAGAGTTGTCTTAACTTTATAAAGAAAAAAGAAAAAAACTAAAAAGCAATCTAGAATAAGAGCCAGAACTCCTAATTTCTTTCTTGCTTGCTTTTCTTTTCTTTTTCTTTCTTTTTTTTTTTTTTTTTTTTTTTTTTTTTTTTTTTTTTTTTGGTACTGAGGATTGAACTCACAACCTCACACCTACCAAGCAGGTGTTTGTGCTGCTAAGCTAAACCCCTAACCCCTAAGCTAAACCTCCAGCCCCTAATTTTCAAATACAGAATCTGTGCTTCTCAGTACATGACATCTAGGTTTCCTTATCAATATTTAAACTCACGAGAATGTCCAATTCAACACATTCATTTCAACACAGCTTTACTTTTCACTGTTTGCAGAATGTTGTGAAACACTGGGAAAACCTGTTTTCCTTATGGTTGGCACTTTGACTTGCCAACCTTGCAGAAACATACCAGTCTTTAGGCTCTGTGTTGAAGAAGACTTGCTAAATCCGGCATTATTACTTGCTAAAACGGAAATCAGGTACTCAGCGCCACACTGGAGAGAAGAGATGCTGCAGGAACTGACAGTTGTACTACAGCTAAGCTCGGAAGAGTCACTCAAAGCCATTGCGGTATAGTTGAAAGCTCCTTCCGTTGGTGTCCATGAAATCGATGCCTTCAGAGCCCCACTGTCGAAAGAGACTTGAATGTTGGCAGGGGCATGAGGACCTATGTTTTGGAGAAAAAAATTAACATTTTATAGTAAAGAACCTAAGTAAGATTTAGCTAAACAATGTTAAGGAGCTCAGAGGGCAAAGTGCTCTTATAGAGTAGTTAGATAAATGTAAGTGCTCAAAGAGTATGATTGGGATACAGGGTCTTAAGGAGCTTGCAACGCATCTCCCATTAACAATGCAAACCCTTAATCTATGTGACCTTGGTCATATCAGTTGGTCAACTTGTTACTTTCTCACCTATAAAATGAATGCAGTAGAATCAGTGTAAGGCACATATTTTATATGCACACATGAATGAATATAGCATTTAACAAATGAATGAAGAATGAAACAAAGTTACCAGGGGGCTATGAATGGTAAATCAAGTGCTTATGCATCACAAGGCTCTGAGTTGGATCCTCAGCAGCCCCCAAAAAAACAAGTAAAAAAATAAATGAATAAACCAAAAGGGCCATATGATCATATTATTATACTATGAGTCAAATGTTTTCTCTATTATTGATTAATGAAGCTAAACGTATCTCTTCTTTATATTTAACTGCTGCTAAGACTTTACTGTAATAGCTTTTAAGTCATAATTGCTTCTGGCGGAACAAAATTGCTCTCCATTCTAATCAAAAAGAATGAAAAAGCTGGGTATGGTGACACATGCGTGTAATCCCAGAACCCTTGGGAGGCTGAGGCAAGACAATCACAAATTCAAGTGCAGCCTGGACAATTTAGCACCTTGGCATAACCTAATATCAAAATAATAAAAGAGCTGAAGATGTAGCTCAGGATAGAGGTCCTGGGTTCAGTCTCCAGTATTTTTTTGAAAGGAAACAAGGAAGAAAAAAAGAAAAAAAGAAAGATGGGCCTCAAGTCATCAAGTATAATGATCACCTATCAAGGTAGCCTTTGTGTCTGTATAACATTTCCTTCTCATTCCTATAAAATATGTCTGGATTTCTTCAGTGTTATCCCATTCAAAAAGCTTGGTGATATACTTCCGTAATTCCACATAGAATTCTACTCAGCACTCAGGAGGCTGAGGCAGGAGAACTAAAAGTTTGAAGCCAGCCTTGGGTTCCACAGCAAGTTCAAGGCAGGCCTAGATTTAATAGTGTAACCTGGCCTCAAAATACAAAACAAAAACATTTGAGATGTTCTCTGAGCTGAGGAAATACTGGCCTCAGTTCTCTTTTGGAACTTCTGCTCTAGTGAAGAGCATGCAGCAACCATTGGAAGTGGCTCGGACAGCCTCTGAGCAGAGATAGCATCCTCTGAACACAACTAGGACACAGGAAAGGCCCTGGCTGAGGACAGTGGGACTCAACCAATGCTCTGCAAGGGAAGCACCAGATGTATTTCTTTTCTGGGCCTTGTTGGCAGGCTCCTTCCTTCACTGCATGGTCAGCTTGTTTATAGAGGCAGGTCTGCTTGGGAATATTGCTCAGCCCTCGGCTGGCAAGAGTCGCCTACAGTATTTTAAGACAACTTATATTTCCTAGCCTGGGAGAACTAGGAAAAATAAGTAGAATATGGGAAGACTGTCATAAACTTATATGTTGAAGTCTTAACCCTTAGGACACTCAGAGTGTGACCTTATCTGGAAATGGCGTCATAGCAGATGTTATTCATTAAGATGTGTTTATAAAAATAAAAAAGTAGACACTGACATACAAGTACAGAGGAAATGTCATATGAACATAAATGTAGTCACCTACAGGCTCAGCAGAAATGCCTAAACAGTTCCTCCTTCCATAACCCTCAGATGCAACCAGTGCTTCCAACACCTAGATTTCAGACTCACGTAGTTTCACAACTGTGAGCCATCAGTTTCTGTTCTTTAAAGCTACCCAACTTTCGATGCTTTGTTCAGCAGCCCAGGCAAACCAGGACAGAGGCTACATCCAAACTCTAAGTTTGAAAACACTGAGATACAAAAGAAAAGAAAGACTCCAGGGAACCAGACGGCTCTCTGTGTCCAATCCACTGTCCACGCACCAGCCTGTGTATCTCACTCTGCCTGTACAGCTACATCAAAGCACTTTTACACAGAACTGTGATCAATGATTTATGCACCCTTCAACATGATCAGTTCTTTGTGGGTAGGTATCATTTTTTATTTGAATTTGTATTCCTATCAGATAAATTATGCATAGCACAAAGTAGCCCCTCAACAAATACTGGTGGGAAGATGCATGTGGGAGGGAGACAGAGAAGCAGAAAGAGAGGGAGAGAGAGAACTGAGGAAATGACCCAGGCTGCCTGGTTTGTCACAGACACTCCAACTTTTCAAACCCATATGACAAATCACCATAGCTACTTGCTATAGTTTTTCCCCATAGAAACACTATGCAAGGCAAATTCCTCTCCATGTATTTCTGCCTTGGCCCGTAGGCAATGGGGTTTCCATTCTTCTCCAAACAGCGAAAGTTGAAGGGAATATTTCTGATTTCTTCCCACCTTTTCCTTTGTCCTTTCTAATAGTTAAAACAGCTAATCTGGTTAATTTAGTTGGTGAGAGTTTGGTCTCTGTTTAGATCATATTGCCTGTAGGGGACAATTTATTCAAGAGAAGGAAAAGCTTCCATGCCATCGCCTTTCTTTTGGCTCATTTTAGCAGCTCAGTTTGGAAGTCAGTTATTATGCAGTGGGATCCCCTGTTCAGGGGGCTCCTGGGGTTGAGATGGTGATAAAGCACATGCTGTGACTGGAGAAGGGTTGGGAAGCCCTATGTCAGCCTTAGGTCGAAGTTAAGGCCTTTGAGAAATAATCTAAAACATTGATTCCCATCACAGCATAAAGCACCAGGACTGAGAAACTCGCTCTTGTTTGCTGTGGTACCTTTGGAATAGTACTGGCCTCGAGTTGGGGCACACTCATTAAATGTCTCTGGGATGAATAAATTCTGGTTAGGCCCAATGCTTTTTGTTTGGACAATTGGCCTGAATGTAACAAGAGACTAGGGGTGCTGGGTAAACCTCCTTTTGTGTGATATCGAATGCTCATGCTGCGGATGAGTTGGAGATCAGAGGAAAACATGCAGATCTCTATGTATTCTCACTGCGTTTCTTTATCCATGCAGTAAGCATTTAAACTGCTGAGAAGGAAGAGTCAACACACTATAAATAACTTCATAATAAATTTAAAAACAGCTGCTGCCAGCTGCTCTGTACTTATCACTTAATGTTGCTCTTGGTAGCTGCAATGCACAATTTCCTCATTAATCAAAAATGAGATTATTTGAGGCTGAGACAAGAACTCCTTACTTGTTCTCTGATTACAGGTGGAGTCATCACCTGGGATCCCCTTGGCATTCCATGCATAGGCCTTTATGGTGTAGAGAGTCCCAGCATTTAAATTGCTGAAGGTCAAGGAAGTGTTTGTAGTATTCTCTTTCCAAATTTTACCCAAGCCATTGGCTTGCATAATGGACACGGAAAATCCAATTGCCATATACACAGCTTCCCACTGCACAAGGATGGAATCTGGGCTTGGAGAGCTTACTTCTAGAATTGGTGCCGCCAACACTAAAAAAACAACAAAGTGAAACAAAGACCAAAAAATGTGTCACAAAAGCCCAGCGGAGGATAATTCAAAGTATTTAGCAATAAGTAAATTGAGATTGATTATCCATATTGTGAAATAGCTACTGGCTTTGTAAAAGGATTCTTGGCAGGATTCCATTAAATAATTGCTATTTAAATGTGTACTAATCATAAGTAATGTGGCAGAGAAATGGGGCAGGTTCAAATAATAGGTACCACTTTGAACTGCAAATCAGTCATAAATTAGATAAAATATCCCTGTAATAATATAAATCAATGGGAGGAATGATGGAGTATTCTTTTTTAATGTGTATATAATTTATCAGAAATGTCTAAGTTCAACTTTGTCAAATCAATGTAATGAATATTGATTATAAATTCTAAATGCTTTTGTTTGTTAATGTGTGCTAGGTAATCAAATAGCAGTAAAAGTCTTTCTATGTGTCCTTTATTTGATATGATTTAAAATTCCTCCTTTTCAGAGATTTAAAAGAAGATATACTTTTTTTCCCTTGAGACAGTCTTACGTTATGGTCCTGGCGGGGTTTGAACTTGTAATCCTCCTACCTCCCTCTTTCAGCCTGCACAGGAATGCTTTTAAAAATGCACAGAAGGGGGCTTTATTTTCTGAAGTCAAGCATCAGGCATTTAAACACCAACCTATTCTTCAGATGTCTGAGCTGCCACAAAACATCATCTGATTATTTTCATTTCTGAGCCCTTAACTATAGCACTTACAGTTACATTATTCCTTTGTAGCACCAGTGTAAATGGTCCAGGTCACAGAAGACGAATGCCTAGCTACCTGTTTTTGCCTGCTTTGGCGGTGATGCCTGGCTTCTCCCAGTAGCACTGATGGATCTGATGGTGATTTGATACAAGGTTGCAGCCTTCAGGCCCGTCACAGTGCCTGGTGAACTGGCCACCATGGTTTCAATGACTGTATCCCCATCTTCAGCTCTGAGCAGGTAACTGGTGGCCCCTGGCACTGTAGCCCATTCTACAGTGATACTGTTGCTGATTTTTGAATATGCCTGATCAATAGTAGGTGTTTCAGGAGCTGAAAGAAATTTTGAAGTGGTGAATGTTACTTCTTTAATTATTTTCCTCTGCAAACAAAATCATTTTTGTGCCATCCTTTAGGCATAAGCTGTGTCCTCATTTCCCAGGGAGAGAGAGACAGAGAGAGAGACAGAGAGAGAGAGAGAGAGAGAGAGAGAGAGAGAGAGAGAGAGAGAGAGAGAGAGAGCAGGTACAGTTGTTTTTCAGAAGAGAGCTGGAAGCTCAAGCCTCCTAGGCAGTGATGAGATTTCAGAGGGTTTTCCAATTTACCTGTGGGGTCTTTTGCACTTTTTGTACTTTTAAATGAGAATGGGAAGTAATTACAGGAAAGAACTTCAAGAGGAGGGAGAGAATAACCAAAGGAGCCTTATTCCAGAGGATTCTACTCTAGTTTGGCAGTCCGCACATTTCCCAGGCTGCTTTTCCACGGATGTCAGCTCCGTCCCTAAACTGGCTGTGCAGCTTCCAAGTGGACCCACCTCTCTCTACCGCCCCAGTCGCTGTGGTCACTCTCTCAAGTACTTTGCACTTTTCCCAAATGGGATTTAATCAAATGGAGGAAGGAAGGAGAATTCAGTCCTTTGTTATACTTGCTCCATACTACATTTTATTATTGGAATGGGACAATTTTTAGGTTTCTATCTATAAAATAAAAATAAATGCTATTCTCTTTCCTATCCAAACATGTGCCTCAGGATAAGAATGAGATATTATGGTCTCTCTTTCCTGTGTACTTGGCGATGGTTTGTCATAGGGATATGAATATTTAGGTCATGAGTTTATACAAAGCATTCGTAGGTTTAGGGTATGGGGTGGAAGCACAGCATGATAATTAAATTTACTGCTTCATAGACATACAGACTTGAAAATGTCTTGAATGCAGGATGGAAGGGATGAAAAGCACCATGTACCTATCATTCCAGCTGCTTGGGAGGGTAAGGCAGGAGGACTGCTGGAGAGCAATGGGTTCAAGAGCAGCCTATGTAACACAGTAAGACCTGTCTCAAAGACAGTTTTTTAGACTGGCACTTGGCCATTTGATGGGCAAAATCACTATATGCCAAAGTAAAGCTAAAGAGCAAAATAAACAAGCAAAACTATAAACTATAAGAAAGAATAAATACAGAATAAATACTCTCCTTTCCTCCAGCCTAATCCCTGGTGCATAATACAGAAAACCTTCTCTTTCTGTACCAATAGCCCAGAGAGTTGGCTTTGGCAGCCTATCAGAAATAAACATGCTGCAAAAATGAACAAAGTCTCCACTGTGTGGTGGCCAGATATTCCTGGAACATCATCCAGGAATGTCTCTTTTACCATCAAAAGAAAATCATGAGGGTTATATGCTGGCTGAAGATACAGACCTGAGATAGCCATTTGCCAGTGGAAGCTGATTCTGCAGGAAGGGCCTATGTCCTCTTTTGGTCCTTGCAGACTAGAACGCCTAGGAGGGGTTTACCCTTTCTTCCTACCCATATATCCCGTCTCTGCTGTCCCAATCATTTTTCCTATGTACTAATTTTCTGATGTCTCTCAACTCCTGTTGCCTTTGTCCCCCCTCATTGATAGTATCTCCTGTGACAGCCAGTCCTGTTTTACTATAATGGACTAACTTCTTGAGAAAATGATAAACAAATCAGCTACACACAGTACACGACAGGCCTGACAGTGCATTCCTGGAGTGGGCCTAAAGGGTTAGCAGGTCACAGACTATCTTGCCTCAGGCCTGTCACAGCACTTGAGAATGCCATGCAACTTGTCCTACAATCATTCTAAGGAACTGACTCAGGAGTGGCACATTTGCTAGGAGTCATACCAGGAGCCAGCATCTGCAGAATGAAACTCAGGGTCATATGATGAAAAACAGCAAAGAGTTTGGATTCAGGAACTCTAGGTTTGAGCCCCAACTCTGTTTTTTTCACCTTGGTATGTGAACATGTGCAAAATTTTAGCCTTTTTTAGTCTGCTTCATTATTTGAGAAATGTGGAATATTAATAATATCTCCATTTTAGGATTTACTTTGAAATATAAAATATCTATATTTTAGGATTATTCTAAAGATTAAGTGAAATAACGTATGCAATGCACATTGAAAGTGTGTGTGAGATAGCCATGATGGTGTACATCTGTAACCTCAGCTACTTGTGAGACAGAGGTAGGAGGATCACAAGTTCAAGTCCAGCCTTGGCATAGATTGGAGAAAAAGTCAGGATGCCTGTTTTACATTTGGCTCCCACAGGCTCTGACCAGCATCAACCAGGAAAGCAGATGTAAATTCTACTTCTCTGTAGGATATGACAACCCATGTCACCAGCTCCCTGGGGCAGGGGAAATGTGAGGTGAGAGGCAGGGTCTAAGTGGGAGAACTCGAGTGTGTCAGCAGCTGGTGATCTGAGGTAAGGAGAAAGTGGTGGGGCCACACACTGAGGTCTGAGTGAGTCTGAGGCTCACTTGTGGGGGCCAAAATGAGAGGTGGGACCAGCCTCATGATGCTAGGTAAGCACTTAGCCATTGAGCTACAGCCCCAACCCCTGGGGACATTAGTGTATCATTAGTAAAGACTGGGGGAGGCTGATGGAAAGTATCAGAGTCCCACTCTCTACACTCGCCCGTTTGAAAGTGAGGGGCAGAGGGACAGGCTTGAGTGACAAACATTAGGCTTATAAAGTAGCACCAGCTCCTTCTCACTTTTCTTATTCCTATGCTTAACACACTGTCTGACCAGATTGATGGAAGAGAAAATGTTATTCCCTTGATGTGCATCTGACCACTCAGATCAGCCAGAAATAAAACCTTTTGGCTCTCAGCATCTGTGCATTCTACCAGCTCAGAGATCTAAACTAGCACAAAACCCCAAAGGCCAGCTATGCATAAACATCTCATGCCAAGGCTCAAAAGCAGTCTAAACACACACGTCCAAGATAAAGCCTTCTGTACAGTATAAATCACACAGATCACATTTGCTGAAAAACCAGGATGAGTCAATAACAGAATCCTCTGTATCTCACTGTGACCTTCTCTTTTCTCTCATCTCCAAAGGGTCGATGCTATAGGAACTCAAAGGAGGACTGTTCTTAGGACTGTGTCCTGAGTGTTCAGGGACCTTGGAAGAGACAACAAAGCTAAAAGCCAGTTAACTAAGAGCCAGTCATTTTAAAAATCATTTAGAAGTTAAGTCACCCAGGAGGTTTAGGAGAGAGCCTCACTTGAGCCTGAGAGTTCAAAGCCAGCCTGGGCAATATGGTGAGAGTTCATCTTAAACGACATAAAGATATAACATAAGCCAAATTCAGTGGCATATTCCAGCTACTGGAATTGCTACTAGAATTATGTAATTCCAGCTACTTGGGATGCTTGACAGGATGATCACAAGTTCAAGAAGAACCTGGAAAATTTAGGAAGAGTTGGCTTAGTGGTAACATAGCACACTTAAGCCCCTGAGTCCAATGCCTAGTACTGCAAAAAAATAAACTAAATCACTTTGAATACAGCCAAGCAGTCCTTCCCATAGTTTCTTGGTCAGACCTGAAGATCTCTTAATAAGGTAAATAAGAGCCAGGCATGACGACCCATACCTGTAATTCCCAGCACTCTGGAGGCTGAGGCAGGAAAATCAGCTGCAGTTTGAGGCCAATCTCAGCTAACATAATGAGTTCAAGGTCAGCCTGAACTATATAGCAAGATCCTACCTAACCTCCACTCAAAAAATAAAAATAAAAAATAAAAAAAGAAAGAAAGAAAAAGGTAAATGAATAAGAATAGAGCAAGAAATAATAATTTTTAAAAACCAACTGTATTGTATATCCAAGGATTTTATGAAATTTCATAGCTCAGCTGTATATTTATACCAAATTTTAAAATTGTCATGACATTATATCCTTTGTTGTGACAGTGTTGAATCACTTCAGAGTTTATTGTTGAAATAGTTGATATTATATGGTTCTATAGGTAATCTATACCTCTAAGCATAAATATCTATCCTGGGACTAAAATTTCTAGAATATATGAGCTGGCAGAAGATTCTAGAGAAATTATTTTTGCCTTCAGTCATTCATTAATAATAGTGATCAAATCTTTTTAAAAGAAAGCCCTTTCCAGCTTTGACTCATCATTGCCTATCTTTTGAATCATCATTGTTACTGTTGCTTTTGAGAGTCTTTCGGTATTGCCCAGGCTGACCCCAAACTTTCCTCCTCCTTTAGTCTCCCAAACATCTACATTATAAGCATGCAATTTTAGGAGCAGTAAATTTCCTTTGAAATAGAGAATAATTTTAAAATTCTAATTTTCTCCTCTAATTTCCTACAAGACAAAGAAGAAAATTTATACAAATTAGACATATAAGATTTTTCTTTGACTAGAATGGCTACTATTGTAATATGTTGCTTATAAGTATGTATGAAAAAACTGTATTGCTGTGTGACTTGACACATCACAATACTTAACAATAACATTGTCTTTTAAGTTTGATACATTTATTTGTTGTACCAGTTATTGTCTCCCCAACACCTGACACAAAGGTTAGCACTCGCTGTAAATGCTTGGAAAATGATTTTTTCTCCCTACTACAGCCTTTATATTTCTGAGTAGCCCCATGAATTAACAATAGCAACTAAAATCAAATATGAGGACAGAAAAGTTGCATGTCAGAAAGTTTTACCTGTTTTGGCTGAAACAACCTGAAACGGAAAAATTAAGAAAATTAGAATCATAGGGAAAAACAGAATATCAGAGCAATATTAAATTTATCAGATACTTCTACACAAAATGTGACTGATCTTTGATTTCACCCAAGTATTTTTCTGCACGACTCATTTCCCAGCACTCGAGCCTGCCACAAAGCAATCCTAAATAGAATTTAGAGGCTGGAGACAGATCACATTACTATTGCATTTTTTCCCTTTGAATCTGCTTATTGAACTAGGTCAGAAGTCAGTGACAGATTTTTCAGAAATCTTTGTTCTTAAATATAATAATAACATTGTTCTAGTATATCACAGTTCAGACATGCAAACATATATAATCTTGATATGATCCTAAAGTATTTTGATTTCTAGCCCTCTTACCTCCCACAAAAAAGTGAAAGATAATGAATGTGCCTCCTTTCTTCCCTAAATAGTTGTGGGTTGGTTGGAAAGGTGAACTCACCGTTTTAAGACAGACGAGAACAAATCCAATCAAAGACAAACCTCTCTCAGGTTCTCTGGCCATTCTGGTGGGCATAACACTCATGTGGCACCAAACCAAGTGTTTCGTGTCCACCTGGACCCCTGAGGGCAGCGCTGGAGCCGCTGTGATCCTGGGAGGGACGCTGCAGGGTTGCTCTTCCACTTTGGTATGAAGCTGACCTGTAACTAGGCGCATTGAAAGACCGGCAAAGAATGGGAAAAAAAAAAAAAGAGAGAGTTGAAGAAAGCCATGCCAAACAGATTGGCTTTCAGCAAGGGTGGAAAGGTAATCACAGGAGAAGGATAGACCTTTTCAACAAATGATGCTGGAACAATTCGGGAGCATGTTTGAGGCTCTGGTTCGATTGCCAGCACCAAAAAAAGCAAAATTAAAAAATGAACTTTGATCCAGTTTTTACTTCATATTTAGGAATTAAACTAGCCACAGTGGCACATACTTGTCATCCTAGCTACTTGGGAAGATGAGGCAGGAAAACCACCTGGGTCCATAACAGCCTGTTCCACATATGGAGATACAGTAGTAAAAAAATATAATCAAAAAAATTTAATCAAAAGCTGGGCGTGGTGGCACATGGCTGTAATCCCAGCATTCAGGAGGCTAAGGTGGGAGGATCCTTGTGAGTTCAAGACCAGTTTGGGCTACAAAGTGAGTTCAAGGCCAGTCTGAACTGCAATAGTGAAACTGTGTCCCCCCAAAACAAAACAGTAATAATTAAAATGGATCATAAGGCAGGCATGGTGGCATACGCCTGTAATCCCAGTACATAGGAGGCCGAGGCAGGAAGATTGTGATGAGTTTGAGGCAAGGCTACACTATACAGTGAGTTCAAGAGCACCCTGAAGAAACTAAGTATAACCTGGACTAGACACCAAGTCTTCCAACTATTAGTACAATGTAAAAAATATAATAAAGCTTTTATAAAGGCATAATGACAATGTGATTGAAAATCAAGTAGCCAAAAATAAAATATCAGACCTGCAGGCTGTAAAGGAATTTATATTCTCTGAAAATCAAAGTCTGCTATTAAATTCTTAATTATGATCTCAATAGATTCTGCCTACTTTTGGCCCAGCCCTTTAGTGAACAAGTAAGAATCATTATAAAGGCAAATCCTGGGGCAAGAAGCAAAAGCAAAAAATCACGAGTGAGCTGAACAAAAAGAGAATGAATTGTACACAGGAAAACCCACTTATGACTTAGGATATAATGTTCAAAATTGAATGAGTGTAGAGCATAAGAAAACTGAGAACCACTGCAAGAACAACTTCACATGCACAAACTACACACATAGAAAGGGCAGATACTTCAATTTTTAAAAAAATTTTATTTAAGGAGAAAAAAGAAAAAAAAAACAGAAAAGGGAACAAGTTATACAGAATTTCAGAAAAAATAAACAGTAGGAAGTCACTAGTTAATAGATTACATATTGTCATCTTAGAAATAGTTGTTCAAGTTACAAAATTAAAGCATATAGAGTGGACATTCAAACAGTGAGACTGCAAACAGTTCTGTTCAATGATCCAACAAAACTCAGTAATATGGTTACCTATCTTATACACTTAAGTATACATGCAGTTGGCGCGCGACTGTGGCAGCAGGTGTGTGAGGCGCGGGCTGTTGTGCTCTCGGCTCTCTTTCCCCTTCTCGAAGGGTGAAGGAGGCCGAAGCGGTGCTGGGCGCTCACCCCTTCCTTCTTCCGTGACCTCCTGGTCATCTGGCGCTGCACGGCACCCCCCCCCCCTCCCGCAAGACTGTCCCGGCCTGGATATGGCTCGCGAACAGCAGAAGATTCAGTCTCAGCAGAAAAATGCCAAAATCAGGCTGGACAAAAGAAGAAGCAAGGGCATGATCAGAAGGCTGCTGCCAAGCTGCCTTAATATACACCTGCACTGTCTGTAGGACACAAATGCCAGACCCTAAGACCTTCAAGCAGCACTTTGAGAGCAAGCATCCTAAGATCCCACTTTCTCCAGAATTGGCTGATGTGCAAGCATAGAGTTGTTTACAGGTGAATTCATGACACCTTTGACTGTTCTACTGTCTCAGACCTCAGGTAACAAACCTGCAGCTGCTTTTCTAACAAACTGTTGATTAGCAAAAATAAAGGGGCTACAGAAACACTCATTTTTATGCTGTTCCCTTTTGGGCTTCAAGCAGACACTTCTGTGTAAATGTATAGTTGACTCTGATTTGGAAATCCGAAAATCAGCCCATCCTTGTTACAAAAAAATTTTTTACAATTGTAATTATATTGATGTTCATATCATGTAAAATAACTCATTTAATAAAGTAGTACTTTGATTTTACAACAAAAAAATACATGCAGTTATGTCCTTTAGAGCACTTTCTTTTCCTCTCTTTTACAATGACAATTATACATTTTGGGTTTTATTACTCCCACTGTTCTTATTACTTTTTTTTGAAGAGAGTAAGACCAAATGTGACATAACAGGACAGAGTCAGTCAAATCAAAAGGATGGACATAGGATGGACAGAATACATAATGTAAAAACAAAATACAAGGTGATCAACAATGGTTACCATAATGCCTCTTGCTATCTTAAAAAGAATTGCCTATATCATCAGTTATAATAAAATTAAACAAAACTGTAAAGAACAAAATCAATACAACCAAAACATTGGAGACATTACAGGACTTCAAAAGAAGGTAATAGTCAACCAGATTGGGCGTCATAATGAATCTTATTGTCTTCATAGTTGTTGCCTATACTTTCGAACTTGGTGCTATCAAGCAAAACAGAGGAAAATCAGTCAAAACAAGATGATGAGAGCAATACAGGGTTTCAAATCAAGTTAATAGGAAATCAATGTGGGTTACTATAATATATCCTGCTATTTTTTAAATTTATTTTTCCCTTAATTAAAAGGATAAAAATAAAAAAGTAAATAATAAAGAAAGGATATTGACATAAAAGAGGGCATAACAACAAAACAGTGCAGGTCAAAACATAACCATTTAAGCAAAATAGTGTTTCACCACAAGATAATCCCGACATAAAAGTAGTTACCATAAGTGTCTCTTTCCTTGAAGTCTTTGAGTATAACTTCGTATACTGTAGCATCAAACATATCAAGACAATGTAAAACCGTTCAAGGAAATGATAGTATTACAGGGTATTTAGAATCAACTAACACAAAATGAACAATGGTTTCTGTATAATCTCCTTGTCTATAAAAGTTTTTGTTTATATTATCACATATGATAAAATCCAATAAGATACAACCTGTTAAGACTGATGGAGACAGAAGAAAAAAAGCTTGATAAGACTTCAAAACAAGATGATTTTAAATCAGCACTAGCTATTATGATGTCTTGTTTTCTCCAAAATAGCTGTTCCTACCATCTAACCATCTCTGCCTCATTTCTGTTGAGCTCTTTTTCTGTCATTAGTAGTCAGTTTGTCTTCTTCATTTTGCTTTCTACTCCATTCATTGTGGCCTCTCTGCCACTGTTTCTGAAGTCTTGGTATTTTCCTTTTTTAGACTATCCTGCAGTATTCTCTGTAGAGTTGAATTGGCAGTTGCAAATCCCCTAGTTCCTCTTTATCCTGGAAGCACCTTGTTTTTCCATCAATTTCTAGGGACAGTTGTGCAGGATATCTCAATCTTGGCTGGAGGTTGTTATCTTTCAAAGCTTGAATTATTCCCCCCTACGTTCTTTGTGATTTGATGGTTTGTGCCGAGAAGTCTGCTGTAATTCTGATGGGTGTTCCCTTGTAAGTGATCTGTTTCTTGTCTCTGACAGCTTTTAATATTCTGTTCTTATATTGGATTTCTGGAATTTTGATTATTATATGCCTGGGTGTAGCTCTGTTTGGGTTGTAGGTGGCTGGGGTCCTGTATGCCTCATACATCTGAGTATCTTTACCTTTTGCTAAATTAGGGAAATTCTCCTGGATTATTTCTCTGAATAGCTTTTGTAGTTCATTTGCTTGGGACATACTTCAATTTAAGAGCACTTCTAATGAATCTGACAAACCACTTGACAAAATAACCTTAATAGTAAGATGTTTCGAAAGAGGGACCTTCTTGGGTTTATGTCAGCCTACTAAATCTGTCTCTTAAACACACACACAAAAAAGAAAAAGAAAGAAAGAAAGAAAAGATGTGTTCATACAAAAACATACATAAATATTCAGTTATATTATTTTAATTCCCAAACTATAGGCAAACCAAATGTTCATCCACCAAGATGAATGATAAACAGATGAAATACTTCTCAGCAAAAAAATGGGAATGAACTATCACATATATAACAACATGGATGAGTCTCAAAATAATGGTACTCAATGAAAGAAGCTATATTCAAAGAAGAAAGAAACAAAGAAAGAAAGAGTAAAAAAAGAAATGAAAAAAAGTAAGAAAAGAATACAGATGGCATGCTTCTAGAAAATGCAAACTACTCTAAAAACAGAAAGCAAATCAATGGTTGCCTGGAGATGGGAAGGGTGGGAGAAAGAGATTCTAAAAGTATAACAGGAAACACTTAGGTATGGGAGGTATGTTCATTATCTGAATCATGGTGATGATTTCCTGAATATATACCTATGTCAAAACACACTTAGTTCATCTTAAATAGGTGTGATTTATTTCACATCAGTTATACATAAAGGTGATTTAAATAATCAGTCTAACCCCCAAACTCTTAAACTTCCATTAAACCACCCAGCTACCTTTGAGTTCAATATATATTCAAGGCATTTTGCTACATTCAGTGAATGTATATTGGGTTTCTCTATTGTATACCAAAGAGCATTCTAGTCACTGAGGTACAATCCTAAATAAATCAGGGCCCTGCACTAATGGAGTATAAACTCTAGTAGAGTAAGACCAAAATAAGCAGAACAGTGATGAAATATATCAAGTTGCAAGATATTATGGAAACCCCCCCCCCACACACACACACAAACCCAGCAGAGTAACAGAAGAGAGTACTAAAGAACAGAGTGCTACTCTGTATACAGCAGTCAGGGGAGACTTATCTGGGAACTAGATGCTTTAACGCAGGCCTCCAGGAAGGGAGGAAGTCTGTCCTTTGGAAATCTAAGAAAGGAACATGCCAGGCAGAGGAAGAAGAAGGACAAAGGGCCTGAGAGAGAAAAGGCTTGGTTGCAACAG